CACATACTTTTTCCTCCCTGCACTGTGAATGTTTACATGTTATGTGCAATTAAACCATGGCAACATCTAATGTTTGTGTAGTATTATGTTCAGCAGACTGTGTTCTTCTATTGTTGTGACTTAGATGACGTTCAGAGCACATTTTATGCCCAATTCATGCAAAACTCCACGTAATCCCAAGGGGTTCACATTCTTTTTCTTGCAACTGTAAAGGCCATAGCTGGGTCCATTGGACATCAACCAAATCCTAGGTTCTTGTCAAGGTTGTCTTGTGAATGATCTGGCTCTAGAATAGAATCGGTATGATGCACATCATTATATTTACCTCGCCCCTTGTACAGATCTTTATAAACTGAAGTTCACTTATACAGCATGTGTAATTTTAGTGCATGTATCTTTTCTATAGACCTTCCTCTCTCCAGTACACTGGACTAAAAGTTACAGTTCTAGCAATGCATTGCACCAAGCCACGATACTGACCATGATTTTTCATGCAGTTTATAACTACAATGATCAGAAAGATCTGTCAAAGGAACCCCACTCTATTTGTGGGTGGTGTATACAATGTCCTATGCAAGCAGTGTGCTAATCTACACCTTCCATTCAGTCACTGTTGTTCCCTACCTCTTTTCCTTACATGCTAAATTCTTCTATACTCCAACTGCTTGTATCATTTTCATTAACAACAGCGTCAGAAATAATAACACTACAAACAAAAAAGCACTTATGATAATAATGGCACTATTATAACATTTCCCACTGTTAAAAATCGAAAATAAAATAAAGCATCCACTGGTATTTTATGGTAATCTGGAGCTCCATTAGAAGCAACTAATACATAATTGTTTCTAAGGAGAGAGAGAAAAAAATTCATGTTCTCTAAGTGAAAATAATTATCATTGCAAAAAAATCCAGCATGCGCTAAGGAATGCAAATATAAACTTTTGTTGTGATACGTAGACCTGCTTTGTTTTGAATAGGAGTTGCTGAGCGCATCCTCTAGATTGACCTGTGTACTTTATTATACTCTCAATATTTACCTCTTTAGTACATTTCCTAGATTGACCTATGTAGGTTTTTTTTTCACTCTTGATACAACGTAGTTAGTTCTTCGAAGCAATGAATATTTTTCTTTTTCATTGTAGGAAATATTTATTCATAGCTGAGTACAAGAATGTGTTGAGTTCAATGGAGTCTATTATTCTCTGGTAATGAAATGATGTCAGAGAGTGCCAATGGCCCCTCTCCTGCAACACCCAACCAGGTGCACGCAATTAGCCGAACAATGCTCAACACGTTCCAACAGGACCGCGGCATAAAAAGGCTATTACGATCTTATGAATGTTCGTATAATAAACATGGAAATTCCTTTAAGGCCTGTTCTAGAGAATTACAAATGGCTAGGAAATGAAAAATCAGATTTCAATGGGCTTATTTTGATCTAGGGCCTGACTGTTCTTATCACCTCTATGGAGCTTATTTGTTTGAGCAGAAAAGATGGAGAAACATGGCAGGAGTTTGGGAAAGTACAGAAAATGCCATGTTGGTTTATTTGGGTGTAATAAAGTGAACCCGTTGTCAAAATAAGATCTCCAAACCTTCAGCCTAACCCACTTGCTCAAGTTTATAAATGTTAACAGTAACACTACTATATTTATTTTGGCTTGAGAAACTGCTACTCTTGTATTCTGCGGTGGGCAAGCATGTGACCAAATGCCAAGTGATTTAATCATGTGATCTCTGATAAACGAGAAGCTCAGTCAATCTTAACTATGGTCATGGTTTTATGTCACTAAATATCTAAGCACTACCAACCTTGGGATCCAATGGTTTTGCTAGCCAAGATGAGTATTTCAGGGCATCTGCCACTTTTTTGTATACCCAATTTTTGTAAAAGTCGGAGGTTTTTTGACATAGCACTTACGCCGTTCTTCATCATTGCTAAGTTCATTTAAGCATTATAGTCCAGTGGTTGCCACTGCACACATATCAGAGATGAAAAATGGGCCTGGGTACGCAGTAAAGTCTGTAATACAAAACAGAGAGTGTCAATCACGGGTCTTAACATCGAAATAAAATCTTCACTGTGTGTTCACCTCTCAAGACCCCTGAGTGCCGCTCTCTCTTTTGGATTAATTTAAGCTTTGGTAGTTCATCAATGTCCACTGGCAGTGATCAGTTTCTCAGAAGAACTACCAGTAGCCTAGCTTTTCTTGCAGTTAGGCTGTCAAAAACTGTAGGAGGCATTGTATGTTGATATAATTTAGGCCACTCTGACCTTTCATTACTTTTCTATTTCTATGCATATACACCTTGTGTCATGCTGCCACCTTCCCAGAGTCTTCCCCAAAGTGTAGGAATGTCACCGTCCTCTATAACTTCTGACCCCCTAGTTATATATGCTCTTCCCTAGTTATTTCTTTGTCAAATGCCAGACCCTCAGTAGACTTAAGAGGCTTTGACATCTAAACAACAGGGCAGAGTTAGGGATTCTTGGAAAAATGTTGAGGTCTTGTGTGCATCCTGATTCCAGAATCCAAGAGATTTCATTGTGACACAAAGATCTGTATGAAGACTAGGAGGGTTACTTGCATGCATCATAACGTGTCTGAACATCAATACTGTTGCTATTGTCACAATCCTCTAAGTCCAATGATGCTTCTTTTAATAAAAAAATTATTCAATATTATTTGGTATGTGAGGTATTAGTGGACATTTTGGGTATGATTGACATTGAGCAAATGCCATGTATACCTGGTTTCTATTTTTCATTGGGCCAGGTTGAATTTAGTTATGTCACAGCATTATCGACCACCTAGACCTTAACATGGTTTTCCCTTTGTATTTTGGGCCCCAGTTCATTAACACAGGCTGTACAAGCAGCATGTCCATTCCTGTGCAGAACTGTAGATAAATGCAATTCATAATATATGCAAGGATTCTGATTTCAACTGTGAAAACCTTTAGGCTGTCTCCTCTGGCAATCAGCAAGAGCTTGTAAAGCTAAAAAGCGGAAAACTAGTTGTGACTTTAATTTTAAAATGTTTATTACTAAATGATATAGCCTAATATGGCATATATTAATAGAGGGGATATTTTTTAAATTTCAGCAAAAAAAAAGATGGTATTTTTGGTTTCAGTGGCTTCCCGCCGTAGCTGCTAATAGTCTCTGACTGCTGAAGGTGTCATAGGAAATGTTTTTGCTACGTCACTTGATCATATATTAATTTCTAGGAATGTGGCTGAATTATTAATGCATTTAATGATATTGCAATGGCTGGTATCAAATCAATTTTTCAATCCCCAGGCACTTTTCAAACCAATAAGGAGGTCTATCATATGGAGGAAAGACAAAACATTAATTATTAACTGCCTTTACTGGTATGCCTGGGGAGTATTTTAAAGGATGAATCATCTTTACTTAATCGTAGGTTTGAAATGATTATTTTATATATATATATATATATATATATATATATATATATATATATATACAGGGGCGGACTGACAACTCATAAGCCCCCCCGGGCAATAGGGGATCATGGGGCCCCTGTGTCCTTGCCCAAACTCAAAAAATCCTATGAAAAAGGTACCAGGGGCATCTCATGGAGCCCCCTACTGACTCCAAATGGTCAGCCCGCCACTGTATGTATATATATATATATATATATATATATATATATATATAATACAACCCCAATTCCAAAAAATGTGGGATGCTGTATAAAATCTACATAAAAGCAGAAGACTGCAATGATTTGGAAATCTACCCATCCTTACTTCTGAGATACTCTGACTCTCGAAGATGCTCTTCTTATACCCAATCATGTTACTGACCTGTTGCCAATTAACCTAAATAATTGTAACATGTTCTTCTAGCTCCACTTATTTTGCCAACTCTTTGTTGCCTTGTTCCAACTTTTTTGAGACATGTTGCTGCCATTAACTTCATACTTACCTTTTATTTTCTAAAAATGATACATTTTCACAGTTTAAACAATTGATATGCTTTCTGTTTTCTACTGTGAATAACAGATTTGCAAATCTGCAGAATGTGCAATCTGTGTTTATGTAATTTTTTTTTGAGTTGGGGTTGTACCATGTACCATGTACACTGTATACAGTATACATTTTATATATATATATATATATATATATATATATATATATACACAGTGCTCAAAAAAATTAAAGGAACACTTTTTAATCAGACTATAGCAAAAAGTCAATGAAACTCCTGGGATAATGATCTGGTCATTTAGGTAGCAGAGGGGGTTGTTAATCAGTTTCAGTTGCTTTGGTGTTAATGAAGTTACCTTTTATTTGGCCAACAATTAAACAACACCCAAAACAAGAATGGTTTTACAGGTGGAGGCCACAGTTTTTTTCCCCTACTCATTGTTTCTGACTGTTTTTTGCTAGTTTTGCATTTAGCTAGGGTCAGTGTCACTACTGGTAGCATGAGGCGATATCTGGATCCTACAGAGGTTGCACAGGCAGTGCAAATCCTCCAGGATGGCACATCAATACATGCCATTTTCAGAAGGTTTGCTCTGTCTCCCAGCACAGTCTCAAGAGTATGGAGGAGATTCCAGGAGACAGGCAGTTACTCTAGGAGAGCTGCACAGGGCCGTAGAAGGTCCTTAACCACTTGTCTATTGGGCACTTATACCCGCTTCTTTACCAGGCCAATTTTCAGCTTTCAGCGCTGTCGCACTTTCATTGACAATTGTGTGGTCATGCAAGATTGTACCCATATGAAATTTTTATCATTTTTTTTTTTACAAATAGAGCTTTCTTTTGTGGTGGTATTTAATCGCTGCTGGGTGCTTCACTTTTTGTGCTATAAACAAAAAAAGTGCAAAAAATGTAAAAAAAAAAAAAAAAAAAAAGCTTCTTTGTTTCCATTATAAAATTTTTCAAACAGGTAATTTTTTCTCCTTCACTGATGTGCGTTGATGAGGCAGCACTGAAGGGCACTGATAGGCAGCACTGAAGGGCACTGATAGGCGACACTGATAGGCAGCACTACTGAGGTGGCACGGATAGGTGGCACTGATATGCAGCACTAATGGGGTGTCACGGATAGGCAGCACTGATAGGCGGCACTGATAGGTGGCACTGATGATGGGTACTGATAGACAGCACTGATAGGTGGCACTGACTGGCATCACTGCTGGGCACTAACTGGCGGCACTTCTAGGAATTGACTGGGCACTGACTGGCACAACCGCTGGGCACTGACTGGTGGCACTGACTGGCAGCACTGCTGGGCTGCATTGATGGGCACTGGTGGGTGGCACTGGTGGGCACAGGTGGGTGGCACTCGTGGGCACAGGTGGGTGGGCACAGGTGGGTGGCACTGCTAGGCACATGTAGGTGGCACTGCTGGGTGGCACTGGTGGGCACTGCTGGGCACAGGTGGGTGCACTGTTGGGCACAGGTGGGCAGAGCTGGTGGGTGGCCCTGCTGGACACCGATCATCAGGGCACTGATCATCAGTTCCCTGATGATCGGTGCCGATCCCTGCTCTGACAACTGCCGGTTCTCGGCAGTACTTTCCTCACACTCTGACAGCATGAGGAAAGTGCAGCCGAGAATCAGCAATTGCATTTCCTGGTGATCAGCGTGTCATTGGTAAAATGACACGCGTGATCATGTGGTAAAAGGTTGCTGTGATTGGCCTTTTACCACATCACGTGATCAGCTGTGTCCGTAGGAGTCTGTAGGAGTGTAGTGGGTCCTAGGTTCCTCCTGGTGCACGACAATGCCCGGCCTCATGTGGTGAGAGTATGCAGGCAGTTCCTGGAAGATGAAGGAATTGATTCCATGTAATGGCCCCCATGCTCGCCTGACCTAAATACAATAGAACACCTCTGGGATATCTTGTTTTTGTCCATCCAACGCCGCCAGGTTGCACCTCAGACTGTTCAGGAGCTCAGTGATGCCCTGGTCCAGATCTGGGAGGAAATACCCCAGGACACCATTTCATTAGGAGCATGCCTTGACATTTCTCAGGCATGCATACAAGCACGTGCGGGCCAAACAAACTACTGAGTACCATTTTGAGTTGCTTCAATGAAATTTCAGCAAAATGGACTAGCCTGCCGCATAATTTTTTCACTTTGATTTTCAGGGTATCTTTGAATTTAGTCCGCTGTAGGTTGATAATTTTCATTTCCACCAAGCAATGGGGCATTCTTACATTCCTAACACATTACCCAGTCCAAATCAGTATAGATATCCAGCATGATATTGTTCCCCATTGGGATCTGATGTGTTTTCAAAGTGTACCTTTATTTTTTTTATAGCAGTATATATATACATATATATATATCATACAGACACTGCAGTCTGCCTATAGCCTTTCTCAGGCCTGCCCTATGATGAATGACCCTGCTTCAGACTACTAAAGTGACCTACCCAAACCCTGCTTCTAATTATGTGGGGACTCGCCAATCCTGGCCCCCAATTAATGCCCTGTTGAGTTAATAAACATGCACAGGAACACAAATAAGGGTAACATCGTGATCCGAGGACATTGCCCAGACACAGAGGTCCAAGAATGGGGCAAATCTGGTATGGTTGCCATCTACAGTCTGACTGATTTTTACCGTTTCAGATAGCCAGCCATGAATTTCAATGTTATTTTTGGTGGTCTTGGGAGAAATGGACAAAAGAGTGATTAAAGGTTCTTTCAGCCTTATACCTAATGTTGTCTGTGTACCCTCAGCTTGACTGCAAGTGCTACCAGGTTCCACCTTTCTATCCTAGCATTCCTAATAGAATGTCTAGCCTGGTTTTGGCCCCATCATCTCATAAGGCAGGGCTGCCAGATGCTGCACAGTGTTACATTTTTCATTTTATGCTTTTTAATACACACTTTTTGTTAAACCTAGTTTAGACTTTAAAGAGTCTTCCAGTTCATAAATTACCACTTTTTTAAAAGTAAAACCACAACTGATTGAACTTTTCAAAGATTTACTCAACTCTGCTTTCCAGTTTGTTACCCTGATCCTGACATAATTACCTAGTATGCCACTGTTTTTAGGTGTCTGTATTGAATGACAAACTTCAGAGAGAGAAAGGAAAGATAATTGCGCAGTGTAAGTATGAAAAAAGCATATATGACTGCCCACATGTACATCACATACATACTGTACATACATTACATACATACAGTAACTATTAAATGTAGATTCTTGTATAAAGTCCCTTTAGGAGACCCTGCCACCAACTTACAAACTGCAGGTAAAAGAAAATAAAAAGTATTATAAATAAAGTTCTTCCTTTCCATACATGGTATTTATTGAATTGCAATGTGCCTCAGTACTTGTTGCCACATTTGACTACTGCAGGAGGAGTCAATTCCCCAGTATGGCTACCTCCCTCATTGCATGCTATAGCCCTCTCCTCTTCTGGGAGTATCTAATTAATCTCTGTGTTGGCGTAGCTCCTCTGCCCCTCCTTTCACCTTCCTATGTAACCTTTTATGTAGCAGGTGGAGGAGGAGCGATGGGAGATATTATAAAGTGTCATTTGAGTCTGCTGAGGCTGCTGACATCACATCCAACATGAAGGCACCCAGCAGCAATTTCAAGTTTTTGCAGGTAAAATAAAACTAAACTACATTAACACAAATTAAATGTAAACATAATCCATTGGGAAAATCATATTTTTATGTTCATTAAAACTACTACACTATACAGACCCTGGGGCTCTGTGTGGTGAGCATCTCTCCTTGGGTCTAACTGGACTGGTAAAGTCACTAGAGAGCGGATGGCATAGACCTGATTATATACATGCTACAGACCAAAGAGCTCTCTGGTGAGTGCATAGTGGTGGAGGACCTTGGACTGGATAAAGAGCACTTTGTGGGAGTGAACACTATCTGTCGTGATTGACACCATAAGTTTACAGATTCACATTGGAAGGACTTTATTATTCTGCTGTTTGTTATACTGTGATACATTTAGATATAATTTATCTTGTTTTATTCACTGATTTGTTACATTACTCACTTAATTTCCTCATGTGTTGCACTATTTTCTATTTACTTTGGCATTAAGATTTTGTCACCATCTTTTTGTGCCAGCTGCTTCTGTATCTATAGTGCTCACCGTTTACGTTTGAATTTGAATGCCCATACACATGTGCATGTAAATGTAAGTATTGGTGTATACCCTTGTATAGTGTCAATACTGTCATAAGAACAGAATTATGCACCAACTGGGGCCCCTAGGTATTGCAAATAAAGGCACCTGTATTCATGTCCATGTGCATGAGCATGAGGTGGCATATGATGTTAAGACCAAGGGAATGTCATTGACAACCTGAGCTTAAAGGAAGGGGTTTGGTGACAATGGGTATCATTCAACCAAGAAGTGACCATAGAACTAATCGAGGAGGATAATGAACATTGCTAGAGCATGAAAAATTTAGACAGTGGATTAATAAAAAATTTTTATACAGTAAAAAGATTGAAACAAACAAACAAACGTAGGCATAGCTGAAGTCTTTGGTCTGAACCTTTGGGACCTAGTGACATTGTGATGTACTTACTACCATAAAGGTAGGGAAAAAAATGTTGTAAATGTAGAACCCTTATAGTTAGGCTGCTAGTGTGTTAGGCAAATGTAGATTTTGGTTTCTCTGTAGCAAGGGAGCAGTGATCATTTGCTTTTGTGCTGTTCTAGGTTCTGCTAGTACAGGCTCAAATACATTCCCTTGCTTCTCACTGAATTATGGGATATAGTAGGTGGGAGAGCCTGACCCTGGCCTGTGTATTCATGCACTCTCAGCCAATCCCTGGTCTGGAGAGTAAGTGACCAGCAGGGGGCTGAGAGAGGTATAAATAGGCTGGGGCCTAGAACAGCAGGCTCTTGTTCCTGGGGAAGTAAGACTCAGCCCCTGGGTGGCCAGCTACAGCATCAAAGAAATTCTTTAGGTGTCCTAGCTCTAGGTAAAGCTTGGAAACCTCCGCCCAGAATATCCCAAAGCAGTGCTGAAAGCTCCTTAAGGGATCCAGGCCATAGGCACCAAGTACAGAAACTGGCTGGTCATACAGGAGACATGACAGTACCCAGGCACAGTAAGTACTAGTCTTAAGGATCCCAGAGGCTTTCCTTGCCACCTTTGGGTGATCATTACAGGATCATACTCCTACTGAGGATTTCCTGCATTGTTCAAAGACGGTGGTTACACCCTGAAGGAGCAGATCAGCTTTAGTGTCCTCTGTTGCATCTTTGCTAGTTGTTTTTGGAGTATCCCAAGACTCACTCTCACCCTATCCAGGTTTTAACCAGCAAACTGCAAAAAGACATGCATAGCCAGTTTTCTGACTTGAGTGACTGGGAACTACCACGAGTTTGGCTACCATGTGCCATCACGGAATGAAACCCTGAATCAATCAGCCAGCCTGGTCTCTGGTCTGTGCTACATAAATATACTGCAAGGAGGTAGGCAGGGGTTTTCTGTGATCAATAAAATCCCTGGTATAGGAACCATGGCCATGGAGCCTCTAGTTAGGATATTAAATAAACCCAACTTTGTTGCACCATTGACTATTTGATCATTATTTGTAACTGTGCTACTGAAAGAATATAAAATATTGAATTCCATGACAACCTCAATCCAGCTTTTTCAATGTCTGTGATTGCAAGGTAGGAACTCTTTCAGAACAGACTCTACAGCCCCAAGTAATATTTACTGGCCAAAACACAGCGAGACATCATTGGCTGCATTGTACAAACAATGCGGGAGCAGTTCAGCCCTATGAAATAATATAACTGCAGCAGGTGAGGCTACAACACCTTATATTACTCTGCTGTAGAAGAAAATGTTATTACGGCAAAGTCCTGCAGCTCAGCGTGTACTCTGGGAATGTTAATTATTTTTCTGAAGCTTGCTTTCAAAAGCAACCTTGTGCTTAGTACTGACTACTCTGCATTAGTCCAGAAACTGATTAAAGCTGATGTATAGTTCAAGCTACTTAGTGCTACAGTAATACAGTTTATTTAAGGACTTTTCTGTCGTTACCCTGCAGGCTTTGATAAGCATACACTTTATATGCATAATTTTAAACTGTGCTATTATATGTTAACATAATCAGTGAACAGCAATGCATAAAAGCTTGCAAGCATCAGCTTTAAGGGACAGTTAGCAATAGACTGACTACAGCTCTGGACAACCTTTATAGATGCTGATAATTAAGAAAAACCTGTTATGAGGGTCCTGTGCTGACATTTCTGAAAGTAAAGGCTCCTTCCACTGTGCACCTTCCAGGATCATTGTGTGTGAATTAAGCACTTTATTAGATGCCTGCACATGTAACATTTGCAGAAAACTTAAGATCAGCTTTAAGAGGTCTTTGCAATTGTATTTAAAGTCCAAATTTTAGAAGGCTCTTGAACACTGCCTTACCTAGATGAATTAATCTGCATACAGAGTTGTACACCCATAACCATACACG